AGCCGAGTATGATGGCGATGGGCAGCTAGGCAGCTAGTCCGCGAGGCGACGGGGGCCGATAACATGAGCGGCATCAACAGTGTGCTCGAGGCGCTGGAGGCAGCGCTAGGCGGGCAATATGCAGCGCGGAGAGGCGAGACGATGTCCGACTTCTTCAAGAGCCCCCCGGTGCAACGGGCTGGCGAGCGCACGGCGCTTTTCGTGGCGAGTTTCGAGGAAGGCGTCCAGAGTCTCGAGGACGATGGAGTGCGGTTTGCGGACCAGGACGACATCCTGGGCTGGTGGTTCCTCGAGAAGTGTTGTCTATCACTCGAGCGACGGGGGCGAGTGGTGGCGGTTCTCCCAGATGACATGTACTCGTACAGAGACCTGAAGACGATCGTGGTCAGGATCGGAGAGCAGACGGACGCCGCGTCCTGCGCGGTTCCAGCAGCGAAGCCAGAACCAACGGTTCGGGCAGCGGCGGCCAGGTCCTGCAGGCTCTGGCACGTCCACGCGTGGCGTGAATGCGACGGAGCTCGAGGGCCACGCGGGGGGGCCCCGGGGACGAGCTGCAGCAGGACGACGACTACGGCGACGGCCCCGAGGAGCACGAGTGCGAGGTCAACGAGGTCGAGGTCTCGGAGATCCAGGGGTTCGCGCGCCAGGAGCTGGAGGCGCTCGCGACGGAGCTGGAGGATAGCCCGCTGGACTTTCCGCCCGAGGACTCTGCAGCGTTGGAGGAGGCGGCGCTCCAGGTGTCGCAGTTCACCGAGGCGCTGGAGGTCATCAGGGACGCGCATGGACGTTTTCAGGGTCGCGTTGGAGGTGGCGGCGAGGCGAAAGGTAAGGGCCGTGGCAAGTCAGGTGGGCGTTCATCCTCTGGTGCCGGGCGCGGCGGGTTCCGGCCCGCCAAGGGTGAGGGGCTCGCAGAGAAGCCGAGGCAGAGGAAGCTCAAGTCGACTTGCAAGGCTTGTGGACAGGGCACTGGGCAGGTGATCCAGCGTGCGAGGCCCCGCGCGCTACGATGGTCACGGCATCAGGCGACGACTCGGACTCGGTCCACGACGCGCTGTCCGTCGAGCAGGTGAAGGCCGACAAGGCCGAGGCGAAGGAGGTGTTGAGGAATGAGCTAATCAAGGAGGTGAAGGACCACCTCCGAGGGGTGGTGGGCGCGGCGTGCGTCATATCGGTGATGGGCGATGTTTGGTGGGAGGCCTACACGGAGGTGTTGGCGGAGCTGGGCATCAGCTACCTTGTCGAGCGCGAGGAGATCACCGATGAGCTCAGGTTCGGTGACGGCGGCGCGCTGATGTCCTACGAGGTGTTCCGCTTCCCAGCGGTGGTAGCGGGCATGCCCGTCATGGTGCGCGCCTGTGTGGTGAAGAGCGACAAGCTGGGCCTGCTGTTGGGGCGTGACTTCCTGGAGGCGATCGGCGCAGGCATTGACGTGGCGAGGCGCAAGCTTACGGTGGGCTCCAGGTCGCAGCCGTTGCTAGATTCGGAGAATCGCCACTTCGCGCTGGAGCTCATGCCAGAGAAGTATCGCGCCTTGTCGGAGGCCTACGCGGGCAGTGAGGAGCCCCCGCCCAAGCTCGGCCATCGGCGTAGGCCATCGCCGCCTCCTCGTGGAGGCATGGGCGCACTGGTACTGAAGGTATCCGCCATCGCGGCGACCATGTGCTGTTCAGAGGCCAAGGTCAGCAAGTCGATTGGCGACAAGCCCGAGGGTCAGGACAAGACGAACGACAGCACCACTGGAGGGAACGTGTCCAACGCGACCTGGACTCTGACTACGGGAACCATCGCATCGGAGGACACGCCTACTTGGGGTGTCATGAGTGGTGCCTGCTCGGCCTGTTGTGCGACTGGGGCGCTCTACGAGTGCCAGGTGTGCCGTGTGGGAACGTGCCCGTCTTGCCTTCGAGGGTTGCAGTGCTCGAGGTGCTATCGCGGCGTGGGTGATCGCGAGACGGGAGTGGGCAACGGCGCGGAGTTCGCGGTGAAGCACCAATCATGGAGGAGACTCCGCAATGGCACCGTCGAGCAGAACAAGGCCGGGCTGAGACAAGCAAGCGCAGTGCATCACCGTGGAGTTCGACCAGCATACGTGAAGAAGATGGTTCAGACACAGCTGAACGACACTATGGTCTCCGCTGCTTCCAGAGGGGCGCGAAGCACAAGGAAAAGGACTCCAGGTACCCTGGTCGAGTACTGCTGCGAGCCGAACAGCCTCATGCCGGAGCTCTGGCAAGCCCAAGGAGGAGCTGCGCACCGCCTCGGATTTCCCGAGGGCGATCTTCGAGTCCGACGTCGCGCGGCGAAGGCTGGCGATCTACTCGCAGGCAGCGCGGTCCCGAGCTGGGCGTGCCGACGTTCTCTGGGGCAGTCTGCCCTGCAGTCCTTGGACGGCGCTACAGAATTTCATGAAGAAGCGTATCCACTAGGCAGTCGACCGCGCGGAGAGCAGGCACATGATCAAGCTATTTTCCAAGGGGGCGTAGCGCGCGCTGGAGGTTGGCGCGATCGTTGCGTTCGAGTGGCCCGTAGACTGCCACGGATGGAGGCAGCCCGAGGTCCAGGAGCTCGAGAGGATCTTGCCATGCGAGTGCCTGTCTGACGGATGCGCCTACGGCCTCGCGGACGACAGGACTGGCAAGACCATCGATAAGCCCCGGAAGGTGATCACCAACCATCAGCCGCTGCAGAAGTTCTTGAACCGAAGGTGCTCCCAAGACCATGAGCACCTCCAAGGGCGAGAGTTCAACCGGAGGACGTCCAAGAAGACGGGGCGCTACACCGAGGGGCTGTGCGGGGCCGCGATCAAGGGCTTCATGAGGGGCGTCGCCGACGTCAACTACGCGCTGGTCACGCTGCTCAACGACGACGAGAATGAAGGCACGGAGAAGGAGCCTCAGGGTATGCTGGCTAGCCTGGAGTCTGAGCAGCGTCTTACTCTCGCGAGGGCTGTGGCTAAGATGCACAGCAACCTGGGGCATCCAGGCGATCGGGCCCTTGCGCGTGCCATTCGACTTGCAGGCGGCTCGAAGTATGCAATAGCAGCAGCGCTCGTACATCATTGCCCCACATGCATCAAGCTAGCGGCCCCGCCGTCGACAGCGGCATCATCTTTACGAGATCGTTGGAGGGAGTTCGGCGACTGCCTGGCCATAGATACTTTCGAACTGGCCGACGCCCAGGGCGCCGACGTGGTGTTCCTGAACCAGATCGACATGGCCTCCAAGTGCCAGATCGTTGTCCCGGTCACCTCCCGCAAGCCGACCGTGATCTGGCAGGCCATGCTCGACTCCTGGCTGATCGCGCTTGGCGTTCCGAACGTCGCGATGGCGGACGTGGGAGGCGAGTTCGAGCGTGAAGTCAAAGAGGAGCTGGAGACAATGGGCTCGATCGAGGATAGTCGCGAGCGCACCTTATAGCCCGACGCAGAACGCCATCTGCGAGAGGCATGGCCAGACCTGGCAGGCGCACGCTCGCGCCTTGATCTTGGAGTTTTTCTTCACCTTTACGAAGGCAGACCAGGTCAAGTGGCTCACGGCGGCGATCAACTATGCGGTGAACTCTGCAGTGGGCCCGTCGGGGTACTCACCGTCCCAGGGTCCTGGGCCGGGGTATCGAGCCTCCGTGCCAGCTCCTCAGCCAGCGCAGCAGCCTCAGGTTGCACCAGCGGATGCTAGACGACGACGAGCCGAGATTCAGGCAGCGCGTCGGACTACTCAGCGCAGCGAAGCGCTCGGTGGCCGCGCTGGAGGCCAACCGCAAGATCAGCGAGGCATTCCTCGCCAAGGGCAGAGCTGCAGCTACGACGCCAGCGGCTTCAACATACCAGATCGACGACCAGGTGTGCTACTGGAGAGGACTGGGCAAGGCCCGCGCCAAGAACACTGGGCAGCACGCTGGCACGGACCAGCGGTGGTCGTCGGGCATGGGTCCAACAACCTGTGGCTGGCGCACCGCAACCTCGCCATCAAGGCATCGGCGCGGCATGTCAGAGCCGCGGAGGCGTCGGAGCTGGTCGACTGGAAAGATGTCTTTGAGCGCGCGGAGGGTACGAGCGGGCCTGCCGCCTCAAGACCATCAAGGTGGTGACCGTCCGGGCCGGGCGGCCAGGCCCCGATGGAGCTCGACGACGAGACGCCGCTTGTCGCCGACCGACCTCCTACCGACGGGCCGCGCTTACTTGGACATGACAATCGATGAGCACGCTCGCGCGCCCGTGGGCGTGGGGCGGCATTCCGCCGCTCGAGGGCCTCAGGGCGTTGAGGATGTTCCCTGCGTTCCGCCTGCCAGCAGCAGACGTCGTCTGGATATTAACTGGGAAGAGAAGCTGGCAGGAGGAGATCGTGCACCATGCCCGCAGCTCATGTTGGAAGGACCCATGTACTCCCAAGAGCACCCTGAGCAAGTACCTACGCTTCCTGAGCGGTCTACAGGACTGCCTGGACATCCCGAGGAGGAGACGCCTCCTCCAGCGCCTGAGGAATCCCGAGACGCCCCGCCTCCTCCTCATGATCCAGATCCTCCTCTTCCCTATCATCACGAGAATGAGGAGGCGCCGCAGTTGCAGAATATGGATGACCCTGTGTTTCAAGAATATCTCTGCGAGGACGAATAAGTGCCGTATCAAGAGTTTGAGTATCGCGACCCCGAGGAGTTGGAGAAGTACGCCGGTGAAGCCGACGAGTTTTACGACGTTGGGGGGGCCTACCACGGCCCGAAGGGGCTCAGGATCAAGGAGGGGCGGCGTCGAGCTCGGGACCCACACCATGCGCTACGCCATTCCAGCCAGTACGCACGGCCCCGAGACGTACATGCGATCACCTCGACGACGTTCCGATCTCTATCAAGAGGACCTTGGTGCAGCGCCGAAGGCAGAGCGATGTGAAGTGCGAGAACAGGCCTTCGAGAGGGCAGCCGGGACAGCCAGAAGAGAAACAAGCACGGCATGCACTGGTCCTTCAGGTCGAGGGAGTTCGAGGATGTTATTTGACCAAGACTGCGAGGTCCAAGGAGGTCAACTTGGACGCCGTCTCAGGCGAAACTATCAGGGAGCTCATGGCATCCACGGAAGACGAGTGGGAGAAGTGGACGGCGTTCGGAGCTGCGCGAAGATTCCCGGACCACGAGCTCAAGCAGTATCTCGCCAGCGGCGCCAAGGTCGTGGGCGCGCGCTGGGTGGCCACGCTGAAGCAGACCAAGACGTCAAAGTACAAATCTCGCCTGGTCGTTCCACCTGCATCGGGAGCGATGCCCCCGCAGGTTCAGTGGACGCTCTGATGGTCACCCTCGGGTTCATGGCGCAGAAGGGTCGGGCAGGGTGCTCCCGCGACGCGAAGTCGGCCTACCCCCAGGCAGAGGGCATCGACATATTGCTACTCATCAGGATGCCCAAGAGGCGACCCGCGGACCCGGGCAAGGTGTTCTACGCGCAGGGCTCTGTCTACGGTGTCAAGGACGCGGGGCGCGCCTGGTATGAGCATCTGAAGGTCTACCCCGAAAGGGAGTGTGTGTACATATATATGTCCAAGCTGGAGCGCGGGGTCCACATGTATCACTACGACGGGGAGCTCCAGATGGTAATGCACAGCCACGTTGACGACGACTTGCAGGTTGCCAGGAAGGCCGCGAGCCCCACGGTCGACAAGCTACTGGGGGAGATGGCTGAGTTTCTACATCTGGAGAGACGCGACGGGGAGTTTAAGTACTGCGGAGTACGCATCAGGCACGGCGAGGCAGGGATCTAGGTTACGCAGGCTAAGGCAGTCAAGGCCGTGGAGTATATCCCAATCGCCCCGGACAGGAAGGGGGTTCCTGACGGACAAGTGACCGTGGAGGAGCTGAGCGTGTTTCGCAGCACGAACGGGCAACTACAGTGGCTGGCACATCGCTCGCGGCCCGACATAGCTTTTGAGCAGAACAGGCTTGCGCAGAGGACGTCAGGGCTGAAGGTCCAGGATCTCATCGAAGTCAACAAGCTAGTAGACTACGTCTAACGAACGTCGAGTACGGCCTGCACTTCCGCAGGGGCGTCGTGGACATCAGCACGGCGTGCGTCCTGGCCTGCGGCGATTCTTCGTGCGCGAGCATGCCGGGTGAGAAAAGCCAGGCTGGAGCAGTGCTGTGCCTCGCCAGCGCTCCTCGAGAAGTTGTGGGCGGACGGTTTGACCTGCCGGTGCCCTTGGTCTGGGCAAATTTCCGAGTCAAGCGAGTTGTGAGATCCACGTTAGCTGCGGTGGCATGCAGCATCAGCGAGGCTATTGAATGTGGCCAGTTTCTACGACAGTTTCTTCAGCAGTTGTATATGCCAGCCAGCGCCGAGCTCAAGGATGTTGAGAGGCTGTGTACATCGAGGCCGATTCTGGCTGTGGCGGACAGCGACAATCTGAAGGCCACTGTGAATAAGGATAGTGGTTCAATTGCGGACAAAATCTACGCGTTGTTGTTTCCATGCTTCGGGAGAGTGTTGAGGCACCAGAGAGTGCTGCACTGATTTGGACGAGGACTGGAGCAATGGTAGCTGACGGCCTGACTAAGAGTTTGGAGTGCATTGTGATTTTGATTGCCTTGTTTGCTTCCAGGAAGTTCGAGATTCCACCTCCGCAGAGGAAGCGACAGGCCGTGAAGCCAACAACAGTCCTGATTTCATCGGCAAAACGGTCGATTACGAGGGGATCGGGTACCACGCTGAGGAGATCAACCGCGAGTGGATCGGGTACCGCGTGCGGCGGATCAACCGCGAGTGGATCAGGTGCCGCACTGGGGGCGACATCAAGGGTGACGGACCCGACGGTGAGCAGGACGAGTTCAAGCCTCGGACTCCGCACTGCCACGTTGATATCATCCATGGCCGCGGCAAGGGCAACATCTACTGTGCCACCTGCTGGGGAATATGACAATACAGTGATCTACATTCTGCTGGCCATCCTGTTCGTGGTGACTATGGTCGTGATATACCTCAGAGCCTCGATCCGACAGTCCCAGGAGATCGGGAAAAATGCCGCGGCTGATTCGCGCGGGCGATGACCGCGCTCGAGGCTCGACTCCGACGACGGCGACAGGCACCGTTACGAGAAAGAGGACACTCGATAAGGTTGAGAGTGAGGAGCCCGAGCCCATGGATATCGAGAGCGACAGTGCCATTTTCGGAGAGGAACCAGTGCAGCTCGGGAGGCAGAGGACGGCCAAGACGGTAATGACGATTGACGATGAAACTGTACGTGACCCAAGGAGTCGCCCGGCCAGAAGGTGGATATCAAGACGGTGCCGCAGGATTGTGACGTCGTGGGAATCAAGACGAAGCTGCTGAAGGCCGGTCTCGAGGACATTCCCGTGGTGATCAAGGTGTCCGAACGCGTGGTGAGGCACTATAGTCCCGAGGACAGGCAGATCACTAAGGCTGAGGCGAACAAGATGGCCAGTGACATTGGCTACTACGTGGACCCCGAGTCCATTGACGGACGGTTGAGGATGCGAGGAGCGTTCCGCAGCGTGGAGAAGGCGAAGGCCACGATGGCAGCCTCGGTGAATGGAGTTTCTTCTTTTCATATTTGAGTGCGCTCCCGGCGAGCGGTTCGATATCATGAAGCCACTCCATATTTCCACGTTGTGTCGAGCGACGCAGTCGTTGATCGCTGGTTTTTACCCCTTCGAGCTCCAGGTGGCATCTGGCAGGAAGGAGGAGCTGACGGAGTGCCTGCGTTCCTACCATCGCCCATCGCCCGACGCGTACGTCTTCTCCTGAGATCCTGAGACTTCCTGAGGTGTTGGCCGAGGGGCCTACGTATCATTTTGCCAGCCCACCAGGGGCTGCCTCTTTTTCTATTGGCCCGCCAGGGGCCATGTGACCAGGCCCGGCCGGGGCCTATGTACTTGAGGACGTCTAGAGAGCCTTCTGGCGGTCCACTGCCCGCCGCCGCCGTTTGGCTCTGCGGGCCCCGCAGGGCCCTTGACCAATTTGCGGTCTTCCGCCCCGCGGGCGGCTGATGAGAGCTCTGGTGCTGCGCGCTGGAAAGAGGAAAGCATCCTGGTCGCTTTGCGACTCCGCCCCCCCCCAAGAGGCCCAAATGGGGCCAGCACCTGGGTCAAACTGGTGATTTTGACTTCCTCGCCGAGACCGTTTTGGACGCTCTGACACCTCGCGACCAGCCCCGTGCAGGTCCAGGGGAGGGTGGGGGGAAGGGTAGCCCCTCCCCGAAGGGGAAGAGGGGTAGATGAAATACACAACACCTTGGACCACCTACGCCCTACAGGGCTGGTGGGATTCAGGTCAAAACGAACCCCAGGAGAGGTTCAGGGCGGGCCCGGGTCTATTCGTCGGAGATCGAGCGCTGAGGTGTTCGTCGCGAGCGGCGAACATATCCGTGTCCGCTCTCTACCGGTCTGGACTCCAGGGCGCGATTCCCGCGGGTATGCTGTCGCGCGTAGGCGTTCCGCGCGGGGCTCTCGCGAAAACGCGCTCCATGTCCGCGGGATCGCGGCCCGGGGGTTTGGCCCGCGAGGCCGCGGACATGATTTGTCTTTCGCACACGAGGTCAGCGACGGGCGTCGCCTCCGTGCCTGATCGGCGCGTCCCGTCGCCAAATCCAGGTGGCACTGGGTCTCTTCGGGGGCGTGAGAGCCGCGCCACCCCGGAGGCACCGCCCTGCCGCGCCCACCGTCGAGGAGGCGCAGGCGAGGACAGATTGGGTTTCAGGTGTGGTGGATCGGTCCCTTTCCCCACTCCACTCTGCGGCCTGGCGGGCGCATGCTCTGTGGCCTTAGGGCCCTCGTGCTCCTTTCGCGTCTCTCAGCCTTGCCTTTTCAGCTGCGCCCGCCAGGCTTACTTGGCTGCTCTCGGCAAAGTCGGCTTGCTCTATTTTTGCTTTCTTTTTGTTTTGTTTTTTGGGCACACCCAGAACGCAACCATCGAAGGAGAGGAGGAGTCGGGAGGGCTTCTCCAAGGAGCTCCCCCGTCCTTCCAGAAGGCTGCGCACCCCACGCCACCCCCGGTGCGCGCACTGCCGAGCCCCCCTGGGCCTCCGACGTTCGCCTGGAGGGTTTCTCCGAAGGGCTTAGGCGACCCGTCCTCCTCCTCCTCCTCCTTTTCCTCCTCCTCCTTCCTCCTCCTTCTCCTCCCCTCCTCCTTCTCCTCCCTCTCCAACGTCAAGTGTGGACGGATCGGAGAAGATCCCGTCGTAGCCACGGCGGCCCTCGGTGGCGTTCTCGCCCCACTCGGGCCTCGCCTGGGGCTCGCCGCCACGGCTGGAGCTGCGCCGGACAACGCGCCAGGATGCGTTCCAGGAGTAAGTCGGACATGTCCCTCTACAGGAGAAATGTTCAAATATAGTTTTTTTGTTTACTTGGTTTATTTTTGAGGATGGCTCTTGGTTATTTTTGCGTGATTTGGTTTTTGTTGACCATTCTTTGTGGCTCCTCCAAAACCCGCCTGTAGGAGGACATGCCCGACGGAACCCCAGGACCCAGGAGGGGTCCAGGGGCAGGTCTCGAGCGCCGCCCCGCCGTCCGCGCTGTCCCGCCTCCGAGGCGCCGCCCCGCCGCGCCCTCCCCCGAGGCGGGGATTTTATACATAATCACCGCCTGGAGGATCTTTTGGTAGGTGGATCTCTCAAGCTCTCCGCTTCCTCTGGCGGTTTGCGTTGCGAGCAGGGTCTTTGCTGTGTTCCTGCTCGTTAACATGTGTCACGTGTGCGGAGCTACACTGTCAATGCCGCGCTTTCTTGTTGCTTTGCTGTGTTCCTACTCGCAACGCGCACCGCCAGAGGCGGCGGAGAGCTTGAGAGATCCACCTACCGCATGTGCGAAACCTCCGAGGCGGGGATTTATACACAACCACCGCCTGGAGGATCGATTTTCGGAGACCTCGGCAGGCGGTGGACATGGATGTATTTGGGCCCCTAGGGGCCAGCATGTATCCACATCCGCCGCCCGCTGGGGCACCAGGCCGTCGGTTCCCAGGCGGTGGATACGGATACATCCCCGCCTCGCGCCTCCCCCTCGCGGGAGTGCAGACCTGGACTGGGGCGCGCGGGTCAGCGGCGGGTCCCGTTTCCGTGCAGATCAGGGGCAACAGAAACAACATCAACGTCAACTTTTGGAGTTCCGCGCGGATCTCTTGGATCGGCGCTCGCGCCCCCTCCCCCGCTGGCGCCACCGCTGGCGCACTCTGGGCGCCAGGGAGGGGTTTCCAGCGCCGATCAAGTATATCTGCGCGGAGCTTCGAACGTTCACTTTAATGCAGTTCTCTCTCTCTCTCTCTCCGTCTCTCTCTTTGTCCATTTAAAATGATACCGGAGAAAAAACCAATCAGGGCTGTAGGGCTAGGGGGCTATATGGCTATAGGGCTATTGAGCTATAGGGCTATGGAGCTATAGGGCTATAGAGTTGTAGGGCTATAGGGCTATTGGGCTATAGGGCTATAGGGCTATAGGGCTCAGGGCTATAGGGCACCCCGGGGCACCCAGGGGCACCCCCGGGCACCCCCGGGCACGCCCGGGCACCTGGGCACCCGGGCACCCGGGCACCCGGGCACCCCCGGGCACCCCCCGGGCATCCGGTCCCGGGCACCCCCGGGCACCCGGGCACCCGGGCGTGCAGCGAAAATCGGCGACAAACCTAACTTAACCATATGAGTCCGCTAGGACCCCTACAGAGGCAAGCTCTGATTGGGGAATAACGAAGACATGTATTCAGGCGCGTGGATCAGCGACGTGTCCCGTCTTCGCGCGGAGTCGGCGCGCCCTGCCGCCAAAGCAGGCGGCACTCGCCTCGTGCTTCGGGGTGCCTCCCCGATCCGCAGATCTGGCGCCCACCTCCGCCTCCTCTTCCTGACCCTTGCGCCTCCTCGATCCTCGATCTTCGGTCGTCGATCCTCCTCGATCTTGATCTTCGATCCTCGATCCTCCTCGATCCTCGATCCTCCTCCTCGATCGATTCTTCCTGTCCCGGATCTGGCGCCCACCTCCACCTCCGCCTCCTCCAGTTCCTGCTCCCCGCAGCGACTGCATGATCCCTCTTGTCCTTAGCCGCAGAGCGCGCCACAAGAGCAGCCCACGACCGCGCTGTCGCTGTTGGGCAGAGGATGCGCGCGTTGGCGCATGCCCCTCTCGACTCGGGGTCGCCGTGGCCCAGCACTGCTACAGCGAGGCGAGGGGCGGGCGCGCCGATAGTTTTCCCTCAGCGGTTCCCTGTCCGAACGTGGCGAGGGATAAGGAGCAGTGGTCGAGCTGGCCAGGCGCTCCGTCACTCGTGCTGCTGTTTAGTGAGCCGCTCCGCATGACCATCAATTCTGTGTTGGATATGTAGGAGCCTGCGGCAAACTCCGCCGCCGTGCCACGGGCCAAGAGTGGGCGTTTACTGGACGTCACTGGTGACCGGCTTTTCATCCGAAGTCGTGTTCTGACGGTCCTGGGCGCTGGTACAGGCCCCCAGAGGCCGAACACTGGCACACGCCGCCCGTCGTGTTCTCTCCACGACGTGAGGAGGTGGGTCTTATCACGAGGGAGGCACTTCCGCCCTCTGTCTTGGAATACTGATGGAATCCCCACAAGGCATTTCCAAGGGGTTCTGGAGTAGATGGGGTCGGAGGTGGAGGGTTTCTCCGAAGGACTTAGGCGACCCGTCCTCCTCCTCCTCCTCCTCCTCCTCCGCCTCCTCCTCCTCCGCCTGCTCCTCCGCCTCCTCGTCCGCCTCCTCCCTCTTCCTCCTCCTCCTCCTCCTCCTCCTCCGCCTCCTCCTCCTCCTCCTCCTCCTCCTCCCTCCTCCTCCTCCCCCTCCTCGCCCTCCCCTCCTCGGGTCGCCTACGGCCCCGGGGGAAGCCGTCCAGCTCGACGTGGAGGCCGAAGCTGTCCACGCCGTTACATCACCGGTGCGTCGCCGATGCGCCGACGAGGACCCCCTCTAGGAGGCCTCTAAGGTTCAGCCACGTGCAGAGGGTCAGTATCGTTTAACCGACCCCCACCCCCATCCTCCTTCTCCTCCTCCTCCTCCTCCTCCTCCTCCTCAGCTCCTCCTCCTCCTCCTCCCTCCCGTCTCCTCCTCCTCCTCCTCCGCCTCCTCCTCCTCCTCCTCCTCCTCCTCCTCCTCCTCCTCCCCTCCTCCCCCTCCCGCCCCCTCCTCCCCCTCCTCCTCCTCCTCCTCCTGCTCCTCGGCCGCCTGCCCTCGGCCGCCACGCCGCGGCTGGCGCCCGCGCGCTCGGCGCCGGCGCTCGCGCCCGCGGCCGAGCTGGCTCCCAGCTGGCGGCGACGGCGGCTGGCCCGCCTCGGGCTCCTGCCACCCTCTGCCGGCCCGCTGCTGGTCAGTATCGTTTAACCGACCCCCATCCCCATCCCCATCCTCATTCCCTTCGAGACCCCCACCAAATTACCACCCCAGTTGGGGATGCACCCCTCGAAACCCGAAGGGAACGGCCCAGGCCACGCCACTGGGGATGGGGGTCGGATAAACAATGCTCAGAGGAGGGGTACGGGGAGGGGGGAAGGCTTCTCAGAAGTACCCCCGCTTCTTGGAAGCTGCGGGCCTCATCTGTAGATGCAGGGCCAGTCCTCTCTAAGAAGCGGCCTGCTTCTGAGAATGCTTCGCGCCTCCCCTTACCCCCTTGGTGCGCGCCGTCAGAAGACGTTGCCCTCGTTCCACCTTCTGCGCTCCCCTCCCTCGTGATCTGGCGCTCCCTCCGCTCCCGAGGCGGCCCTTCCCCTCGCGCCCTCTTCGGGGTATCCCCCCTGGCCTTAGGTCGGGCCCGTCCCT